GACATACAGCCGGACCGAGGTATAGAATCGAGGTCGGTTCGGGGAGGGTACCCCAATGTGTTTCGTGTTTGTTGTATGTTTTTTTATGCATCCTGGGGAGGGTACCCTTGGATGTTCTGTTCGTTTGGGCCGGCGGAGAGTCTCAGGTTCTTGAGGGATGTGCTTCTGGCCTCGGTCCGATTGTATTGGCTCCGCGAGAACCGTCGGGGAGTATCTTGGCTCATCTTGCGGAGCGAAACGCACGTAGCAGAGCAGTTCACGGGGAATTGGCGTCCGAGCGATGGTGATGAAGAGGAGCCGCCCTTCGTCCGTGTGACTGTTGTCCAGGAGCCCCAACTTCTCGCTGAGCTCTGCGCGGATGTCTTGGATCGGCGATGGGCCCCCCTGGCGGCGCCTCCGGCGCCGCCTCTAGCGCGCTTTGCAATCCAGGAGGGGGTCCAGCGCAGAACAAGGAAGTCCGCGCGGACCTCCGACTGGTGTTGCTTGTGCCGTTGTGTGGTCCTGTATCTAGCAGGTTTCAGCATTCCGGGCCTCCCATGTGGGGCCCGAGCAGATGGGTTCGGAGGATCGCATATCATCGCCGATGTATCGGCGATGCGGCTCGATATGGAGTCCGATGTTCTTCGCACCGACGGCTCTGATGCAGTGCCGACGTCGCCGACGCATCGGCGATGCATCGACGATGCATCCGCGATGCGGCGAGATACTCCGACCCCATCTTCTCGGACCTCATGTTTCAGGCCTCCGGATAGGCAGGTTGGAAGCGGAGCCACCCTCCATCTGTGCCCCTTGATTCCAAATGTACCATGCAAGCGAGAACCACATCTTGAACATCTATCGTCCTCCATTCGTGTCGCCGTTGGAGTTTGGCCGAAGTCTTTGCACGAAGTCTTTGGCGAGAAGAACAGTTTGAAGGGATTCGCTCTCCATCCGCGCAGTTGCTGGATCCGTGCCACACGACTGGTGAGCAGCGCTCGGCACCACAGCACCCATCCGTTTAAGAGTTGGGATGTTTCTGGACACATGTGCGGGACCCTGCGGCGAGAGTTGCGTTTTGAGCAGGAGCCACCTTCCATCCGTGCAGATGTGGGAGATTTAGGACGCGATTGCGTCTCGCGCTGGGGCGACATAAGCATTGTGCAGTCATCCGCCCTCGATGTGTGTAGCTGTTGGGGGCTTACGAAATGGCACCGCAATCTCCGAAAGCTAGAGACAGCATTGAAACTTACACGTATTCGGCACAAACGATCGCAACGTGCAGGCAAAGTTTGCATCACACAGCCTCAGCGAGTTTATGCGTTTATGCCCTCGGGGAGTCTGGTGGACTTTCGACAACTCTCAACGGCCCTTGAATTCAGATGTTAGGTCTAGGCCAGTTGCGCAGCTAATTCGTAATCGCTGTAGGTTCGTTTGTAGCTAGTTTGTGCAACACAAGTTCGGGATCAGTGGCAGTTCGGAATTATCGGGCGACGAATCTATACATATCCACTGCCCTTGGAGCTGTATACGCCTTTCTGGCCAAGGCAGGAGGGCGTGGCGTATACACCGCTGCTGGGTTCAGCATGGGCTTGGCCAGGGAGCAGTGGACATGTATAGATTTCGCCGCCCTGAATCGTATCCAACGCACGTGCGTGCTACTTACAACCGTGATATCAAGCAATGGCGCAGTTTTAAGCAGGCAGTCGAGGCAGCAGCGGTGCCAAGGGCGGTCTCGAGGAGGAGGAGAAGGAGGGGAGGAGGAGGAGGAGGAAACGGAGAAGGAGGAGGAACCGGAGAAGGAGGAGGAACCGGAGGAGGAGGAGGAGGAGGAGGAGGAGAACAGAGGCCGCCGACATCTCAACTGGTCCTCCCTCGGGTCTCCGCGAGACCAGGAGTCCGTGGAGTGGTTCTCCAAGGCGATATGGCTGGTCGACTCGGGCCAGGCGGGGATCCTGGGAGCGCCGGGCCGCGGTTCCTCATACCCTGTCCCGCCCCCTCCCTCCTCCACTCCCCTCCCCCATCCTCGCCCCCCTCCCTCATCCCTTCCCCACCCCCCTCCCGCTTCCCTTCCCCCCTGCCTCCTCCTTAACTACCTCCTCCTCCTCCTCCTCCTCCTCCTCCTCCTCCTCCTCCTCCTCCTCCTGCTTCTCCTCCCCCTCGAGGGGGGGAGGGAGGCGGCACGGACGGCGGGGGAGGGGGGGCTTGGGCGGGGGGAGGACGCGCGGCGGCCCGCCGTTGGTCCAGAGGGCGGCGCCATGCCGCGGCCCCTCCACCGCCGGGCGTCGAGGGGGAGGCCTTCGCTCGGGCCCCTCTGCGTCGGGGGCGTTCCGCTGTGCTCGCAGGGCTCCCGGCTGCTCGCGAGCGCCCGAGCAGCAAAGCGCAGATGTTTGCCTCGATGTCGTAGTACGTCGTACCCCCCCCGCGGCGGATCCAGGCCATCGGCGGGCAGGTACTGTGCGAGTAGTGGAGCGCGCTTGTCTAGAGGAGCAGGTTCGGCGTCACCCCAACATGCTATTACTACGGTTGTGTCGCCTCCCCCCAAGGACGACGCGCGCACCGAGATCTCTGCGAGTATGTGCTTCGCGGCGGGCGCTTTCCGGCCGAACCGCTCGGGGAAGGTTGTACTACAAGGTGGTTGTGCCAGATGTTTGGGTCGGACGCACGCCTCCGAGCAGGACACGTATCGCTGGCATGTCATTGTGCGCCCCACAAGAGGTCACGATAATGATACGTTCCAGGGCTTCCAGCAGTTCCAGGAGGTCCCTAGATTCCCTCGTGCTCCGCCAGGTGGCTGCGGTCGCGAGGGCCGCCAGGTGCTCTTGGGAATCCTGGAACGCATCCTGGGCCAGTCCTGCCACGACATCCCTCCCGTCCGAGGCTGAGCCCCCCGCGACGCCGCGAGCAGCCGCGTGCCGCTCCCTGGGGCCCGTCCGATCCCCGCGCGCCCCAGCTGGCGCGGCGCCCCGCGGGCGGCCCTGGGCCAGGACTCGCGGAGGCGAGGCGACGGCACGCGAGGGGATCAACCTGCTGCCCTGACGCGCCGATTCAGGAATTGGCCGTTTTTCATTCGCGAGAGGGCGTCGCGGCCGTCATTTTTGCAGGTCCAGGTCCGTCGGTTCCGGTCTGAGGCCGTGTTCACGAGGGGGAGGTTTACTAAAGGGAGGTTTGTCCACCGCCGAGAGAGGGGGGGGGGGAAGCGAGAAGGAGAAGGCTGAGAAGGCCTTCTCGGAAGGCGGCGGGGCTTCTCAGACGGGCCTCCCGCCTGCTGAGAGGCTTTCTGGGTCTCCGGGCAAGGCTTCTAGACACTCTGCAGAAGGCCGGGAGACTTCTGAGCCTCCTGCAGAGAAGGCCCGCCCCTTCTCTCTTCCCCCCCCCCGGGCTCGCCGCCGAGTAAGGACGAGGTAGCCCAGACACGCTCACGTCAATGAAGAAGGGCGACAGGAGGTGTAAAAGGGCCATGGGACAGTCACAGAACGATCCGGGATGCAACATCTGCCCTCCGGGAGAGCGTCGGGGGCCCCGTCTTGAAGCACTCGGGACACGGCATGCCCGAGAAGACAGAGGGGGGGGGGCCACGACATCTGCTGCCTCGGCAGCTGGCCTCGGCCCCGCCGCCGGGCGCCTGCCTGGACGCGCGACCGCCCCCACGGCGGGGCGGCGCCGAAGAGAAGACACCGGCTGCGCGAGCTGAGCTGTCAGCCGCCCCTCGGCCGATCGCTGCCCCGCCGCCGGGCCCGCGCGGGGGGCGGCCCCGCCCCGGGGCCCCTTCGCGGCCCGCCCCGGGGCCCCGACCTCCGCTCGCCGTGGAGAGGAGCGCGCAAGGGCAGGCTGCCTCGCTTTCTCGGGTGGCACCCGGGGGGGGGGGCCCAAAATGACGAGGGGGGGGAAGCCAGGGCCCCTGAAATCGAGGGTGGACAGAACCCCCAACAGTGACGCGTCGATTAGTCGATTAGTGAATTGTCCTTTTTCGGATCTCGCGAGGGCGCCGCGGCCGTTATTTTCCAGGGTCGCGCCCGCCAGGTTTGGTCCTCAGGTCGTTTTCACTAAACCACGTTTTACTAAATGGAGGTCTGTCCATCCCCAATAAAGAGGGCCCCTTTTGGGCCCCTCTGCGCTCCAAAAGGGGGCCCAAAGGCCCTGCTTTCGAGCCTCTCTCGTCACCCCCCCATGCGGGTCACCCCCCAGTACCACCCGCCCGACTTCGGCGGGCCCTCGCCGGGCCCCAGGGAGGCCACCCAGAAACGACGGCTCGGGATTCGGAAGCCCGGCCCCGGGGGAGGGGCCGCCACAGGCTACCATAGACCCTCGAGCGGGCCCATGCTGTGGCAGTGAGAGGACGACATCACGACGTCCGCGCCGATTCCGGCAGGCGCACCTTGTCGCCCCCGCCCTCGTCTCCGCCGCGCGCCGATCCCGGCAGCGGCAGCCGTGGAGGGCCTACGGTCGCCGGCGCGCCCTCCGCAAGTGGCTGCCCGCAGCGCGCGGCAGGAGCCGTCGGCCTCGTGCCGCGGCTGGTGCGAGCTGGCGGCGGCGGGAGGAGGTGGCGGTCGGCGCCCAGAAGCGGTCGGCCTCCTCCTCGGGCTGCCAGCGTCCTCTTCGATCTGGAGTTCGTGTCGGCGTGCCAACCTGTTTGCCCCATCTGATCGGGGTCACTGGCCGTGGACGTCAACGAAAAGCTGGCCCTTCTTCTTCACGCTTCTTGCTCCTCCGTCCTCGCTCCTCCTCCTCCTCCTCCTCCTCTTCCTCCACTTCCTCCTCCTCCGTCTTCGCTCATCCTCCTCATCGACTGCCCCATCCTCCCTCCTCCACATCCCTCCCTCCCTCCCTACTTCCCTCCATCCCTCCCTCCCTCCTCATCGACTACCCTGCCCTCCTCCACCTCCTTCCCCTCCCTCCCTCCTTCGTGTCCGCTCCTCCTCCCCCTCCTCCCATCCTTTCTTCCGGTCCTCGCTCCGCTTTCGCCCTCGGCCCGAGCCCACTCTTCGCCCCGCTCGTGGGGCCTCAGCGGCGGACCCACGCAGCCATCTCGGCCCAGCGGGGTAATTACACATCGCGTAGGGCAGCGACGAGGGGAAGCGGCCAGCTGACAGCCACCCCTGAGAGGAGGAAAAGGTACCGATGTCGATGCCGCCTCGGTTCCCCTTTTGGGGGGGCCTCCTGGGAGGCCCTCGTCGCCACCGCTGGATTCGCCTCGAAATCATGGTCAGGACGCACCCCAGGAGAGATCAGGGAGCAGCGGTATCGGTACGTCTTGGCTTTTCCACCCCGTCGGCCCCCTTGGACCACCAGAGTGCACCTTCCTGTTCCTAAGCAGCCCTTCAGCGGCTTTTCTCAGCTGTTTTCTTTATTGTTGGTATGCCTCATGATGGGTATCCGTGCTCTCTGAGGGCGGCCGGCGAATTCTCAGAGGGCTGAGCCACTCTCACGCTGTACTCATACTCTGTGGGTGAGCCTCTCTGCTCATTCTGGTTGTCCCGCTTCCCCCTGTCGCTGAGTAAGGACGCTGCGAAGGCGCCAGGTGTTTGCTCGGGTGCGATGGCGGCTCCAGCTGATGCTCGCAAGATCGTCAAGAAGAGGATGAAGCGGTTCCCGCGCTTCCAGGCTCCGCCCAGGAGCAGAAGGTCAGGGTAATGACAGGGAGGGTGAAGCTACATGAGCAGAAGAAGAGGGACAGGAGGAGGAGGAGGAGGGGGTAGATGAGAAGGTGTACGACGACGACGTCGGCGACGAGGAACAGCAGCGTGTGCAGGAACATGATGGAGGAAGGGAGGGGGAACATGGCGAATGAGAAGGAGAGGGAGGAGGCTGCGGAGGAGGAGGAGGAGGAGGAGAAGAGTTCAAGGGAACGGTTGAGAAGTCGGAGGCGGATGATGTGGAAGGACGACAAGGGCAGCAGGCGCAGTAGGCTGTCAGTGGCTGAGGATGAGGGGGACACTGACGAGGACGAGGATTGGGTGGAAGAGGTGTGGGGGCCTGCTGGAGGAGGAAGTGGGCGCGGGCGAGGATGAGGACGATGATGTGGAGGCGGGAGACAAGCTGAGGGGAGTAGACGGAGGGGTGGGCAAGACGGGCGTCAGCAGGAGCTGCACGATGACGAGGGGGACAAGGAAGGGAGGAGCAGCAGGAAGGGGAGGTCGTGCTGGCAGGCGGGGGCCCGAGGGCGGAGGAGGAGGGAGGCTGAGGGCGGGGAGCGGAGGCGAGAGCAGCATATCACCAGCCTCGAACTTATCCCTATCCCCAAGATTGACACGCTCAAAGGAGATGGCCATCTTAGGGATGCACCCTCAGAAACTGAGGAAATCCCTAAGCTCGCCATCGTCATAGGGATAGGGAGATGTTCCAGGCTGGTAAACATAGTCGGAGTGCAAGCATTGCCTTCACGCGGGGCACGCCGAGGACGTGGTGGCCGTGCCAGTGGAATGGCGGCGCACATCTGAGCTCCGAGCGGGTGTTGAGACAGCACGCGTAAGCCCATCTGGTCTGGGCAAGCCCAGCCAGAAGCTGCCACCCAACGCTGCGCAACGTGGGTAGCATCGAAGGCCATGCATTGCAGTGCTCCCAGCCTGCGTATCCCTGATTCAGTCCTGGTCCGATTCTGTCCTGATGCTCGCATCGTCTTCGGAGGCGAGTCCAGGATTCGCCCGCGTGCAGATGTGGGTTAGGGGGAGGGGGGAAGGCTTCTAAGGAACACCCCTGCCTCCTAGAAGGCGCGGGCCCTGTCTACAGATGTGGGGCTGGCGCCCTCAAAAAGCAGCAGGCTTTTTCGAAGACGCCTTCCCCCCTCCCCCCAACCCCCGTGTGCGCGCCGCCAAAGGAAGCCCTGCCCCAAAAAGAGGCGCGCCGCCAAAGGCAGCCGTGCCGCCCAAAGGAGGTCCTGGAGAGGCCGCCTGCAGGATCGAGGAGCGGCACCGGCAGCTCCACGGCGAGCGCCCCGCTGCCCCGCTGCCGGCGGCGCGGGGCCGCTTGCCGACCCCCCTGAGCTCCAGGGCGGAGCTCACCTGTTATGATGTTCCAACGCCCTTTTCGAGCACCAAGAGAGTACCGAAACTGGAGGGTTTCCACGTGTCGGGCCCTGGGAGGCGATACTTGCTCGACACTGTTTCGATACTGTTCTGGGAGCTCGAAATTATCCCAGTGCGACCCTACCTAGGAGTTGGAGCATTCAGGAAAGCAACATCTACATCTACACCGACAGCTACATTTACATCTACACCTGCATCTACACCTATGCTGAGCTGAGCTATGCTATGCTGTGCTGTGCTGTGCTGTGCTGTGCTGTGCTATGCTTGGCTATGATTGGCTATGCTATGCTGTGCTATGCTGTGCTAATGCTGCACTGCGCTAAGCTAAGCTAAGCTAAGCTAAGTTAGGCTAGGCTAAGCTAAGCTAAGCTAAGCTAAGATGAAGTAAGCTAAGCTAAGCCAAGCCAAGCTAGGCTAAGCTAAGCTAGGCTAGGCAAAGCTAAGCTAAGCTAAGCTAAGCTAAGATGGATCAGCTAAGCTAAGCTAAGCTAAGCTAAGCTAAGCTAAACTGGGTGAAACCAGCGGGCGCAACTGGGGGAACCGCGGGGGGGACACTGGGGGAACCGCCCGGGGCGCTTTCCACTGCCCGGCCCCTTTCGGCCCAAAGAGTAAGAACCCTTCTAGGCAGAGCCTCGGTAGGGAATGATCTCTGGGATGTGGTCCTTCAGTACGATGGGAACAGCAAAACTCAACTGCGCTTTGGCGATTTCGGGAGCCGTTTTCGTTTTGATCGTGCTTTGCAGCATACAGTGGATGCCCATGCCAAGAAGTTCCCTGCTTGCCCTCAGGGTGCCCTGGGTTTCTTGGGTTCTGATGGTTTTGCTACAGTCAGCGTGACGCTCCCACGCCAAAAATCAATGGCAGCCCGGGGGTCTCAGGGTTGGGTATCTTGTGGAAGGTCTCTTGTGGACTGGCCTCCACTGTAGGCGGAACGAAGACAGGCCCATGGAAAACGCGAGCTACACGAAAACGGACAATACGGCCTGGCTCGTGCACAGCCAAACTCCAGAGTAGCACGGCCTTCGGGCCGGAGCAACGCAGCGAAGCGCAGCTCGAAGGGAAGTCGCCGCCGAGGAGGCCCCGCCACGAGTGGAAAGTTCAGGGGGCGCGCGAGGTGCAGCACACGCCTCCTCCTCCTCCTCCTCCTCCTCCTCCTCCTCCTCCTCCTCCTCCTCCTCCCCCTCCTTCCTCGTCCTCCTCCTCCTCCTCCTGCTCCTCCTGCTCCCCCTCCTCCTCCTCATATCCGAGCGCGACATGCTACACATTGTGTTAATGGTGAACACAGATGGTCAGACGGGCATGCGCCCCGACGAAGATACGTTCATGACTATGCCGACCACATCTGCATCGCGCCCGCACGTGTATGACGAGTATCCCACGGCCTGGATTTTCGAGAAGAGCCCCATCATGGAAGAGGAGGCCTCCTCCTCCTCCTCCTCCTCCTCCTCCTCCTCCTCCTCCTCCTCCTGCTTCTCTCCCTCCCACTCCCCCTCCCCATCCCCCTCCTCCCCCTTCTCCTCCTCCTGCTCCTCCTCCTCCTGCTCCTCCGTGGGACCCCCTCCCATCACGCGGGGTCCCCAGAAACGCCTGTGGCGGTGGCGGCCTTTGGCGGCGCCCCGCGAGCGTGGACACCAACCAGGAGCATGGAGGAGGAGGACGGGAATGCGAATTACTAATAAACTACTCATCGGTCGTTAAGCGCCTTCCAACTTCAATAATCGAGTGGCTTCCCCTCTTGCCTCCTCTTCAGTGGGCGGGCGGAGACCCAATCTACTTCCAACGCCTTCCTACTTCATGGTTCAGCCTACTTCTTCCGACCGATGGGTATTGTTGTTGGACCCCCTCTAAGCGCTTTTTGACGCTCTCGTCACGTCGCCGGCTGCATCTCCTCTGAAAGTGAGACTCACGCTCAAGCGTCTCGGGGTTGCGCCCAAACCAGCCCCTCGACAACAACAACAACAACAACAACAACAACAACAACAACAACAACAACAACAACAACAACAGCAGCAGCAGCAACAACAACAACAAGAGCAACAGCAGCAACAGCAACAGCAGCAACAACAACACCACTACTTTTAATACTGTTCGCTCTGATCTGGCACGCGTGTCTTGCAGCGTGGATACCCCGAGCCTCGGTCTTCGATCGCACCCGCTTTCGGGGGAAATAGCTTCCTTGTCGGCCACCGGCTGAAGTGCGAGGTACTCTCGAGCGAGAGCGCCGTTTCTGACTTCGAGGCCTTCTTGGCCATGGCCTCTGGGAATACACCATGATGAAGTATCGAACGAGAGCCCTTGACGTCGTAGTTGGGCATCCACCCATCTGACTGAATCGCGAGAAACTCTCGAGCGAGAGCGCCGTTTCTGAGTTCGAGGCCTTCTTGGCCATGGCCTCTGGGAATACACCATGAGTAAGTATCGAACGAGAGCCCTTGTCGTCGTAGTTGGGCATCCACCCATCTGACTGAATCGCGAGAAACTCGAGCGAGAACGCCGTTTCTGAGTTCGGGGGCCTTCCTGGCCAGGGGCTCTCGGAGTAAATCGTGAGGACGTAACGAGCATGAGCCCTTGTCATCGTGGCTGGGCCTCCGCCAATTTGATTCATTTCCGAGAAAGTCCCGAGCGAGAGCGCCGTTCCTGAGTTCGGGGGCCTCTCTTGCCAGGGTGTCTCGGGGTATTGTGGGGAAGTATGGAGCGGGAGCCGTCGTCTTTGCAGCCGGGCCTTCAATGGCGCACATTTACATTCAAGCCCGCACTCGATCGTGAGCCTCGTTTCCAGAGGAATTGCAGCCGGCGTCGAGGCGAGAGCGCGCTGAACCGTTTCCAGAGGTCAGCAACAATTATTATATAGAAATGAGCATTCAACAACAACACCACCACCAACAACAACAATACCAACAGCAACAAGACCAACAACAACATCAACATCAACAGCAACAACAACAATGCTCCCATGCGATACTTTCTCACAATTTACTCCGAGAGGCCCTGGCCAGAGAGGGCCCGAACCTCAGGAAGGGCTTTCTCGCCTGAGACTGCCTTGCAATTTAGCACCACCGGGTGGTTCTGCAGAGCAGTCTTGCCGCTACTCGCGGATGCCAGAACGGCCGTTTCGCTTGAGTTTATTGTAGCAGTTGAACATCACAAGGGGGTCTTTCAGAGCCAGGCTGCTGCTTCTTCAGGATGCCAGAACGGATTCTTCGCCCGATACTTATTCGCAATTCGTCTCCACACGGGGGTCCATCAGAGAATTCTTGCTGCTAATCGCGGATGCCGGAACGGTCGTTTCGCTTGAGACTTCCGCGCGATTCAGCAGCACGGGAATCCGTCAGAGCAGTTGTGCCGCTATTTGCGGAGGCCCTAGGAGGCCCAAGGACGCCCCAGGGATATTTGCTCGGGGAGCGTTTTTCGCCCCACCGCCCCCAGTGGGCCACAGGAGGCCCCACGCCCAAGAGTCATTTTCTGGTAGTGTGCTCTGTGTTCGGGGAGTGCTTTTCGGCCCCCCGCAGGCTTCGCCCCCATAGGTTTCGCCGCCTCCCTCCTGGGGCTCGACTCATTTGTGTTGTACTTATGTCTCCA